GTATGTTCCCTCCAGTCCAATTCTCTCTAGGACTTTGAACATAAACGCATGTTGAATTTTGTCAAAGGCCTTCTCTGCATCTATTGAGACGACCATGTGGTTCTTGTCGTTTAGCCCATTTATGTGATTTATGATATTTATTGACTTACGTATATTGAACCATCCCTGCATCTCTGGAATAAAGCCAGCTTGATCACAGTGGATGATCCTTTTGAGTTTGTATTACTCACTGTTTGTAAGTATTTTTTTGAGAATTTTTGCATCTGTATTTGTTAAAGATATGGGTCTATAGTTTCTTTTTTTGTATGTGGATGTATCTTTGCCTGGCTTTGGTATTCGAGTGATGCTGGGTTCATAGAAGGAGTTTGGAAGTTCTCCCTCCATTTCTATCTTTTTGAATCAATTAAGTAGTATTAGATATAGTTCCTTTTTAAATGTCTAGTAGAATTCTACTGTAAGTCCATCTGGTCCTGTGATTGTTTCATTTGGGAGGTTTTGTATTACTGTTTCAAGCTGTTAATCGCTTCTTGGTTTAGCTTTGGTGTTTCCAATGCTTTTAGATACCCTTCCATTTCTTTTAGGTTTTCAAATTTAGTAGCATATATGTTTTTAAAGTATTCCCTTATAATATTCTGGATCTCTTTGGTGTCTGTTGTGATGTTTCCCCTTTTACCTCTGATTTTGTTGATTTGGAGGTGCTCTTTCTTTCTTTTGGTTAACTGGGCTAGCAGTCTGGGTCTATTGATATCTTTTCATAGAACCAGCTCTTGGATTCGTTGATTATTTGCATTGTTATCTTTGTTTCTACTTCATTAATTTCTGCTCTGATATTTGTTATTTCTTCTTGTCTTATGGGTTTGAGTTTCATTTGTTGTTGCTATTCAAGTGTCTTGATTTTTAATGTTAAGTCCCTACTTCATTAATTTCTGCTCTGATATTTGTTATTTCTTCTTGTCTTATGGGTTTGAGTTTCATTTGTTGTTGCTATTCAAGTGTCTTGATTTTTAATGTTAAGTCCTTTATTTGTGTTCTTTCTGATTTTTTAATGTAGGCACTTAACGCTATAAACTTCTCTCGAACGACTGCTTTCAACATTTCCCAGATGTTTTGTTGTGTTGTATTGTCTTTTTCATTTAATTCCAGGAATACTTTTATTTCTTTCTTAATTTCTCTTTTGACCCATTCATCATTCAGGAGTGTGTTGTTTAATTTCCAAGCTTTAAACATAAAAGCATTTTGAATTTTGTCAAAGGCCTTCTCAGCATCTATTGAGATGATCATGTGGTTCTTGTCTTTGAGTCCATTTATATGATTTATGACATTTATTGACTTACGTATGTTGAACCAACCCTGCATCTTTGAAATATAATGTTCTGGATCTCTTTGGTGCCTGTTGTGATGTTTCCCCTTTCATCTCTGATTTTGTTTATTTGTAGATGCTCTTTCTTTCTTTTGGTTAACTGGGCAAGTGGTCTATCAATCTTGTTTATCTTTTCATAGAACGAGCTCTTGGATTCGTTGATTCTTTATATTTGCTTTGTTTCTATTTCATTAATTTCTGCTCTGATATTTGTTATTTCTTCTTGTCCTCTGGGTTTTCTTTCATTTGTTGTTGCTTTTCAAGTGTCTTGATTTTGAATGTTAAGTCACTTATTTGGTTTCTTTCTGATTTTTTAATGTAGGCACTTAGAGCTCTAAACTCCCTCGAAGGACTGCTTTCAATGTGCCCCAGAGGCTTTGTTGCATTGTATTGTCCTTTTCGTTTAGTTCCAGGAATACTTTTATTTCTTTCTTAATTTCTCCTTTGACACCTTCATCATTCAGGAGTGTATTGTTTAATCTTGATGTGTTCATGTGGATAATGGGGTGTCTTTCGGTGTTGATTTTAACCTTTATTGAATTTTGGTCTGATAAAATGCATGGAATTCTGTCAATCATTTTGTATTTGTTGAGGTTTGTTTTGTGCCCCAGTACACGGTCGATTTTGGAGACGGTTTCATGGGGCTCTGAATAGAAAGTATATTCTTTGGTGCTTGGGTTGAATATTCAGTAGATGTCTGTTAGGTCCATTTGACATGTGGTATTTTTTAATTCAGATGACTCTCTGTTAATTCTCTGTCCTGTTGACCTATCTAATAGAGACAGAGGAGTGTTGAAGTCCCCTACTATTAATGAGTTGGGATTAATCTGGGTCTTAAAACCCTGTAGTACTGTTTTTATGAAGTTGGTTGCACCAGAGTTTGGTGAATACATGTTCATGTTTGTAATATCTTCTTGGTTTAGTGTTCCTTTGATCAGCATGAAGTGGCCACCTTTGTCTCTTCTGATTAGTTTTAGTTTAAAGTCTATTTTGTCAGATATTAGAATTGCAATGCCTGGTTTTTTCTTCATATGATTCGCTTGGTATATTTTATTCCATCCTTTCACCTTAAGGTAGTGCCTGTCCTTGAAAGTGAGATGAGTTTCTTACAGATAACAAAAGGATGGGTTTTGTTTCTTAATCCATTCAACTAGTCTGTATCTTTTGTCTGGGGAGTTCAGTCCATTGATATTTAAAGTTATTAATGAAAGATGTATATTGAATCCTGTCATTTTATTTCTGTTCACCTTCTTGATATACCTGTGCGTTTCCACATTTATACCTTCATTGAATTTCTTTCCTTCGCTCCTTGTATATAGTTGTTCCTTTCTTCAGCTCTTTGTATTGCTTCAAGAATTCTCTGAAGGGCTGATTTTGTGGACATGAATTCTTTCACCCTCTTTATGTCATAGAAGGTTCTTCTTTCCTCTTCAACTATGATAGACATTTTGTCTGGGTAAAGTAATCTGGGTTGGCATCTGTGGTCATTTAGAACTGGGAATACTTTGGTCCATGTTCTTCTGGTTTTCATAGTTTGCACTGCAAAGTCAGCTGTAATTTTGATGGGTTTTCCTTTATATGTGACTTGTTGTTTTTCTTTTGCAGCTTTCACCATCGTCTCTTTGTTTTGAACATTTAATGTGTTTACTATTATGTGCTGTGGAGAGTTTCTTTTCTGGCCCTGTCTATTTGGTGTTCTATATGCTTCTTGTATTTGTATGGCATGTCTTTTTTTAATTTGGGGAAATTTTCTTCTACAATCTTGTTGAATATCTGTTCCATAAAATTATCTTGAGATTCTTCTCCTTCCTGTAAGCCTGTGATTCATAAGTTTGCTTTTTTATGGTATCACACAATTCTTGCATATTCCATTCTTGTGCTTTCTTAAATTTTTCATAATCATTGCTTGAGTGGTCTAATTTGTCCACTTTATCTTCCAGTTTTGATATTCTTTTTTCCATTTCATTCATCCTGTTGGTGAGGCTTTCTCCTCTTGTTTCTAATTGGCTTACTGAGTGTTTCACTTCCTTCTTCATTTCAGCCTGAGTAGTATTCAATATTTCTAACTCTTTTCTGAATTCATTCAGAATTTTTTCCCTATCTTCCTTCAGTTCTTTAATTTCTTTGTATGTTCTTTAAATTCACTGAATTCTTTTATCATGTTTATAATTGTTCTTTTGCATTCCATGTCCTGTGTTATCTCTAGGGTGTTCTCATTGTACTCTTCTGGAGGACTATTGGTACTTGGTGGGGATATATTATTTTGGTTTTTCATCTTATATTTTTCTCTGTTACTTTGACATGTGAATTTCTTTCATACTTTCTGATTCTTCTGTGAGACACCAGCCTTCCTTTATTGAGTTTAGATTTCTTTCCTTTGTAAACATTATGTGCCTTTGTGGTTTACTTGTTGGGCCTGAAACCCTGGTTGGTCTAGGCTTCAGGATCTCTCTTCTGATTTTATATCGGAGTGGCCTAATTGCTTTTCTCTTCAGGAGTTCCCACAGAGGCCCAAGTGAAATGAGGTTCAGATACCCTCAGGCTTTCTCCTAAGGTCTGGGCCCCTCCAGGAAAGATGCTGCCCTCAGGAATTTGGGGGCTGTGCTGATTGGAAGGAGGGCCCGGGATAGATGCTGGTCTCGGGAAGCTAGTGGCTGTGACACCCATGGAAGTAAAGGGAGGTGAGGGTGGGTTCACATCCAGAAGGTTCTTGGGGGCCACAGGGAGGAACTGGTTTGGTCCAGATGCAAAGGATCAGGAAGCAGTGGTATCTCTGGGCTGAACGGTTAGCCCCGGTGTTTTGGTGCTAACAAGAAATGGGCCTGTACCCAGGCTAGGAGGAGAGATGCAGCAGGAGTGCTGGGAGAGTAAAAGAGGCTGGGGAAATCAAGGCATGATGGGCACACTGTATTTACCCAAAGAAGGTGCTGGTACCAGGACACTGGAGGCTGTATAGCCCAGGAAGCAAAACCAGAGTTAGTTTCTTTTAATAGTGTGTGTGTGTGTGTGTGTGTGTGTGTGTGTGTGTGTGTGAAGTAGAGTACATGTGCCAAGGTGTGCATGGAGGTCAGAGGACAACTTGTGGGAAGCAGTTCTCCCATTCCACTATGTGGGTTCTAAGGATTGAACTCAAGTTGTCAGGCTTGGCAGCAAGTGTTTTTACTGCTGGTTCATCTCTATGGCCTGGTGACTGATTTTTTTTCTATAACTTTACTGGCAAATTCATCATCTTCCAAAAATATGAATTTATTGATGCAGATTGATGATGTCACAGCACAAGTGAAACGCGCATCATTATATTTGGAATGCCTGAAAGGAAAACATAAACTTGTTCAGGAGAAATTGCGAACTATGGCAAATGAGGAAGAAGAAAAGGATATAGAAGAGAAACTTCTTTTAGAAAAGAAACTTGAACAGGAAGTCATCAACCTCAAAACTCACATAAAGGAGAATATGATCGATAAAAAGGATGCGGAAAAGCATTTACAAGAGGTTTTACAAAGAGAGGCAAAGAAAACCTTCAAAGAATTTAATCGTATTCTTCAAGTTTTACAGGTTACTATATTTAGTTACAATTGCTTTTGCACTAAAAATTGTATTTTGATGTATAATTCACATGTATTTCTTCTTTCCTTGTAGCAATGTTTTGTGCATTTGTAAAAACAAGAAGACATCTGTTTCTTCTGTTAAATATTTCAGTTTAAAATAATATTAAGGAAATTCATCTTTTATGATTGTAGAGAGTCGCCTGAGCTTTAAGACTACTTAGTAAAATATGGCTGCTTGGGGAAAGATGAAATTGTTGCACAGAAATTGTAAAGTACTATTCAACTGTTGATAAATCCAATTATTAAATTGATCATATTACTTTTTTGAAGTATCATATTGCATGTGTACTAACAAGAATATTTCAGGCCTCAGGATATAACTCACCATTAGAACATTTCCTTGGTATGCATGAGGCTATGGGGTCAATCCACAAAATAAAATAAGGATTCATTTCTAAAAATATATCTTTATTGAATCATTGTGGATTTCATGCATCTTTAACATATTTAGCTCCCTTTTCCTGTGTGCCCCATAGCCCACCCACAGGACGTCATGCATTTTTCATATATGTTAAATCCTATCGAGTCAAGTTTGTGTACACAGATTCATTTTTAAATAACTCTGATGTAATGAAGTTGATATTGTTGGTAAATATTTTTAAAGTCCAGTATCTTTTGCAGATATTTAATATCATTTTCTCTATCACTGACTGAAAACTAATGATAAAATCATGTAAGGATCACTGAATACACTGATTCTACAATGAAGTGTTAACTTTTGTTTAGCTGAAAACTGAAGCTGATCGTCTGGAAGAGCAGAGAAGAAATGATTCTGTCGCTGCACTGAGAACCGAAATGGAAGGCATAGTTAGAGAAAAGGAATCTGAGCTCGCGAAACTAAAATCTGAAGAAGCTTCTGCTATCACTGAGTTGGAAACGTATAAGGAAAGATACCGAGAACAGTTAAAGGTTACATTTTCACTGAGACAGAAAAGAGACAAGTAAGTCAATGCACAGAATCCCAGAAAGTGAGTTAAGATGCTAGATTTTATTTTAACCTGCTTTTTAGTGAAAAATCTTCATGACAACAGTAGACAGCAAAGCCAACAACAATATTTTGCAATTAGTGCCGGTAAATTAGCCCCGCATTTGCACACTAAATAACCTTGCTCCACCTGCTTTTGATTTTGTGTGGCTTTCTTCCTCATTATTCCATTATAATTAAGCTGATATGTTGAAATTTCAGCTAAGTATACAAGTCTTACTGAGTCATACAGCTCAATGTTATGAATTTTTCTTAAGTAGACGTATTGGCAATATCAAGTGTTTGAGGGAAGATTAGATTGTAAACTCAGAGGACTAATATCGCTTACACTACTCTGGCACTTGATAAATTACCTTTGCTATCTTTGGTGCTACACTGAGGTAGTCTGGAGTCAAACTATTCTGCGGAGTTTTTCTGGTTGCTTAAATAGGCCTACTAATGATATAGGAAAGGATTAATGCAGGCATGGACTCAATTACAGTTCATACACTGATTAAGTATAATTACTAAGTCAGTGTGGGAAAATGGCTTTTTAGAAGACCAAAAGATCATGGCCCAAGTCTGAATACTTAGTAAAGACGTTATGGACTAATCCCAGGAACTGCTTTAGTCACTTTGGTCACCAACCATATTTTGTCCTTACCCTTAGAGGTTGTTTCTCTGAATGATTCATCAGTGCCCGATCCTTAATTTCTCCTAATGAGTAGAATGTATAGACAGTACAAACAAATGCTTGAAAATGCCATTGAAGGATGATGACAATTCCATAAAATGGCTTACCAAATAGATTCATAGGATTTAGTCACATTTCGATTCTATATTTTGAAGCAGTTCAACCTGATTCAATGTACTTAAACATTTTGAAATTTTACTCTAGGGAAACTAATTAATATATCCACCATGTCACCTTGGTATTCTTCACATACAAGTATTTATAATAACTTTATAGAAAAAATTAGTACAGCCCTTCCAGCAGGCAACAATGTTGCCTGTAAAACCACATATTGATTCCCATTTTTCCCTCCCAAATTGTTTGAAATACTTGCTACTTAGTAAAGAGTCATTCTAGAATTATATATGCCTGTAAAGAGAAATTTGAACTGTTACAAAGTATTCTTAAGACATTTCAAATATTACAAACTACTTTAGGGGAAATTCCATTTACTCTTATGGCATTTAAAAAGATGAAGTATTTTAGACTCTATTTCTGAAAAAAAAGGGAGATTTGAAGTATTTTTGTTTTTCAGTATTCGCAAGTCCATTGATCAGCTACAGAAAGACAATGCCAGGCTTCTTGTGGAGAATGAACAGTTCAGACTTTCACACAGGGGAAACTTCTACTGAAAAATTTCAGGATTGATTCGAACACAGCAGAAAATTCAAAACAAGAGCAAACTTGGGTACCCCTATGTCACATCTGTGACTTAGACTAAGAGCTTGCAGGACCCACTTGCCAAGGTTAGTCACAGTTTCAGTTGTCCATTGTGTTTCAGGTTTCTGATAGGAATGTTTCCAGTTTCATGAATAATGGAGTTCAGAGACTTGTCCCTGTGAAGTTAAGGTTAAGTAACCTCTGTTATGAAGTAAAGACAACATTCTTAACCATTTTATGTATTTTTTATTCTTGATAATTTTAGATAGATGTACAATGAAATACCACATTTATCTCCTTCCCTTTTCCCACTGCCAATTCTCCCCATCCTCCTCGATATGTCCCCTTCTCAACCTTATAGTTCATTGGGTCCCATTAGTCCTGCTCATATATGCATGGGTTTGGGACCATACCATTGCTAAATCACTCTCTGGAACTTTTCTTTTCAACACATGCTTACATATTAAATTCATTCATTAAATGGAACTAAATTGCTGCATTTTAAATTTTATTCAAATAAGTATCCATATTAGATTTTAGAAAATATGATTAATACTAACTAAATTTATACCATGCAATAGTTGGCTTATTTATTGTTATTAATTATTATTCCTATTAAATTTTTATGCATTTCATACAATACATCTTAATCATGTTTAGAACCCTCCTTTACCTGCATCCCTCCATAGTGCCCCATGCCAGATTTCATGCATTCTATCCTATAAGTTAAGGCCTATAGTGTTAAGTTTATGTCCCCTTATTTATTATTATTCCTATTAAATTTTTATGCATTTCATACAATACATCTTAATCATGTTTGGATCCCTCCCTTATCTGCATCCCTCCATAATGCCCCACGCCAGATTTCATGCATTCTATCCTATAAGTTAAGGCCTATAGTGTTAAGTTTATGTCCCCAGATCTCCCTCAGAATTCATCTACCGTAACCTGGTTGGTCTGTCTAGCATCACTCCCTTAAAGATGACCAACTCTCTCTCACCAACAGTCATCAGTCGCCAATAGCACCTCAGTCAAGGTAGGGACTTCTTACCCCTTTCCCCTCATCTTTGCTGGGTTTTTGTCTGGTTTGAGTCTCCATGGGTCTTGTGCATACTGTCACCATTGCTGAAAATGTAGTTCAGTCCTTGGAAATTTCATATTTGTACACAATGTATCTTGATCATACCCTCCCCCAGTTTAACCCCATTAACTTCCCCAAGATCCCCAGTCACATCTCCCTCTGAACTTTGTGTTCTCTTTTCATAATATTTTATTTACTTATATTTAAGTTAGTTTTATTTGGATTTTGATTCTTCAAATTTTCTGCATTTCTGAAGCATCTCCTAGGTTTAGGCCTCAATTGAAATGAAAGAGAGGATTTTGAATGCAGATATTTTGATTTAAGTGAATGAAGAAAATATGTTTTTATGATTAATGTTTTTGATAAACTTGT